ATATAAAAAGGGAGCTTGTGCATCGGTTACTTAAATAGAAGGGGGTGTCATGCATTTTTTAAAACACAGGGTAGTAACGCGCCTATTTCATATAACACAGGGGAGTTTGGTACGATTTACCTCTACTATTTCAGGTGATGTAATTGATCCCTGTGTAATATCAAGTTTCACCTACCACGGAGAAGAAAAAAAAAACATGGTCGACCCAAAAAGGTTTTATGCTATGAGATTAAAAATTTTTAAACAATGTATTTATCATGTAATCTAATTAAGTCTTTAGTTGTTATTTCAGGTTTGCGAATAAGCGACGAAGATCTTAAAATTTAGCTCTCGCAGAATATGAGACATTATCACGTGGCACCAGAGTTTGGGACAATTCTACTACGCATTTTTTGGGATATGTCTAATATTCATTCAAGTTTGAACCGTTTGGTGTTGGATGAACTTACCTATGATCGTAAGGCTATATCTATTGAGCATGATGCACTTCTCAAATATATAACTGACGATTAGAGGGGGGTTTATTCTAAAATAATGACAATTGTTGACTCTGGTAGTGGCAACATTTTTTTTGTTAATTTTTTTGTGTACGTTATGGTGGAACTGGTAAGAAATACTTGTGAAGAACCTTAGTTGTTGGGCTAAGATCAATGGGTCGAATTGTGCTTTGTGTTTCATTCGAGTGGAATAACATCTTTCCTGTTGTAGGCAAAAGAACTGCACATTCTCGATTTGGCCTACCTCTTAGTGTGCATGAAAATTCATCGTATGAGATCAATCAGGCTAGTCCTCTCGCATAGTTGATTATATGTTGTTCATTGATCATATGGGATCAGGTCCCAATGATGCACAAGCATTGTTTTGAAGTTATAAAAGCATCATTTCAGGCAATCGTGGGAGCAGTCGACACGACAAACAACCATTGACCTTTCAGAGGAAAGACTATGTGTTTGGTGGAGACTATCGACAAATCGTACCTGTAGTTCCAAAGGGGAGTCATCAAGAGATTGTTAATGTTACAATTATTGCTTCTAGCATTTGTGAGATTGTACTGTGCTTAGGCTTACAAAGAACATGCGTCTTCAGAGAATTAGCGATTCGGACGAACGTGTCGAGGTAGCTGGTTTTGCTGGTTGAATAGTGCGCATCGGAGATGGAGTTATATGGGGTCAAATGATGGTTTTTCTCCGATTGACGTATCAGATGATCTATTACTAGAACATCCGATGATCCAATTCAAAAATTGTTAAAAGCACGTATCTGATATTCAAGGATGCTGATGATCCAAGTTACTTGAAGGACCGGGCTATACTTGCACCGACACTGAAGATGGTAGAATTTATCAATGCATACATGTCGTCGTTGAATTTGACTGAAGGTCGTTCGTATTTAAACTCTTACAGTACTTGTAAATCCGACTCCATTACAGACTTTTGACCAGAACTCCATACATCTGAGTTTCAGAATACTGCCAGGTGTTGTGGAACACCGCACTATGAGATACATTTGAAGGTAGGAACTCCATTTATGTTGTTGCGGAACATGGATCATTCAATGGGATTGTGCAATGGGACACATTTGGTTGTGACCAAAGCTTTCTAATCATGTTCTCGAGTGTAAAATTCTCACGAGCGACCATGCAGGTGATAGGGTGTTGATACCTAGGATGACGATAACTCCTTCTGATGTTAGAGTACCATTTAAATTCCAACGAAGACAGTTCTCCATTATGGTTTCCTACGCAACGACCATAAACAAGAGCCAAAGCCAATCCTTATTCCATGTTGACTAATTCTTGAATAGACCTATTTTTAGTCATGGTCAGTTGTATGTCACTATCTCTGGAGTTACTAGCAGGAAATGGTTGAAATTTTAATTTGTGAACGAGAAGGTTTCCAAAAAACCAAACTATGAATGTTGTGTGTGATGAAGTGTTTAATAATGTTTGAATTTGTCTTATTGACATAGTCAAATGCATATTTTTCAAAGAAAAAACTTTAAAACAAAGTTTTAAAAAATGTTTTCAGGAAGAAGACCCGCCGTGCAACGCACGGGTTGCTCACTAGTTAAATACAAGAAAAAGATAGTGAAAATTCATCCTTTTTAATTTTTTTTGTTTGCTTGAGCAAGAAAATCACCAACATATTAATTTGTTGAACATTTATCGAAATTAAATCTTACAATATATATGTATATCATAAAAATTAAAATAAATATAAAAATTAATATTAATATTCAAAATATTTTGTATACTAACACTACAAGAATATGATAAAATTCAAATGGAAAATTTAAACGGAAATATGTTCCAATGGAATTTCAACAACAACTACAATGGATATTCCAATGCTATTATTTTCATTTGAATTTTCCAATTGATTCCATCGAAAATTCCAACAAAGATATTTCGTTGGAATGGGTTATCCATTGGAATTTTCGTTCGATTTTGACGATTTCAACGGTACATTTTCCAAAGGTTGAAATATGGGTGAAAATAAAAATTTCAACGAAAATTGTATATTCCAACGGTAAAAAACCGTTGAAATAATAGTCGTTTGAATGATCTAATTCAATCAAAATTCCAGTGGAAAACTCATTCCGACAAAATAATTCTGTTGGAATCATTACAATGGAAACTATACTATTGGAATATCCGTTGAAATTTTCACTGGAATATATTACCGTAGAATTTACAGTTGGAATGTGACATTTTTTTTGTAGTGTAATCGAAATTTCTTCCATAGTTTAATTTATATAATTTATCATTATTAGCAAATGAAAAATTTGCTAATGAAAAAAAATTGTTTTAGCAAATTTTTTGAAAAATTTGCTAATTGTATTAGCAAATGAAAAATTTGTTTGAAAAACATAAAATAAATTATTTGTTCTTAACTTTAATAACATGTAACTGAACAAATATATTGATACGTTTCTCTTGGTTAAAAAGAACTGACACTTGATGGAAGTTATTAAAGGCGTAGACGCAGTTGCTATATTGCCTTAAAAGATTGAACAAACTATTGAGCAACAACACTGCTTGCCTTATACGCAAATTTCGTTCAGCTTGAATTCATACTATTCCTATGCGTAGAAGGAGCCTTTTTAAACTTTGAAATGTTTGTTATTTTTATTTTCTAGTTAATGTAGTCTATTCCTTGTGTGTCCAAGTTCAAGCTAATTTTNGCATTTAATTTTGTCATAAATTTGTAGAGGCTTTCAAGTGATTAATTTCTTGTAATTGACGACTGATGGATCTAGTTAATCTGCTATCCCAATTCCCAATGTACTTAAATTAAAAAAAATAAAAATAAAATACACATTACCGTTAGATAGGTAATCAATTATGCTATATGACAAAAGTTGTTCCTAAAAATATGAACTTTCTAATGAAAGTACACATATGTGTGAAAATAAAATATATCGACCTAATTAGTTATGCCAGTAATGCTAAGGAACCAACTGTTGGTTCCGTTACAGAGCCAACAGTCAATGGGATCCATGTGGGATTGACCCACATGGCTCTAATGTGGGACATCCTCATATGGAGTTGTCCCATTGGTTGTTGGCTCCTTATCATTATTATTAGTTAGGCATCCTATAGAAAAACAAAGTTAGTTGATGTAACAGCATTCACAATGTTTTGTGTCTAGTTTTGCTTACGTGGCATGTAGATAAACTTAAGTCTTGAATGACATGAATAGAATTATATAAAAGTAACATGATTCACTACAAAGCAAAAAGACCATATCCCTACTTGAGTCTAAAATAGACTTAAGCGTAGACCGTGTTTGTTTTTCTTACTGCTACATTAGCAAGACCTAGTCCACTTGCACTTGCATTAGAGCACCCACAATGCTTTGGGTCTCTTTTTGCATATGTGGCAAATAAATAGACTTAAGTCTATAATGGCATGGACAAACCCAAGCTAAAAAATCCAAAATCTAAATCCAAAATCTATCTAATGCAAAAAAAAAAGTACTAGGTCTAGAATACCTAACAACCAATAAAAATATAATAATAGTAAATGATTGCTATTGTAAGGTTCACACTTGGGTCCAAAATAGACCCAAGAGTGGACTTGGTCTCTTCTTTTTATTGCCACATAAGCTAGACTAGGTCCACTTTTAATTGCATTGTGAAACAGTTTTTTATAGACTAAGTCTATTTTCTACATGGTATGTGATTTATTTTAAAGTGACCCAAATCATTGTGGTTTCTCTTAGAGAATATATTTTTTAGGCTGAGTCTATTTCTTATGCGGCATATAAATTTTTTTGAATGAACCCAAAACATGTGGATGCTCTAATGATTAGACAATCATATTTTTCAATAAATATACATATTTCAAACTGAAGTACAACAAAATAAAAATTAACATAAATAAATATAGATAATTTCATAACATGGTTATATATATTTTACTATAAATCTCCTATGGAAAGACCCAATTAATAGTCAGGACACCTTAGAGCATCTCCAATGGTAAGCATGAATTGTAGTGTATGTGGTAATTAATAAGGCAGTCTTCCATCCACGTGGAAGAAATAGATGTTCAAACACATAAAAAGTCTCAATGATTTATTTATTCAACTTAAAAAATATGACTTATCATGTATAACAAGACTTAACTTTTGGATTTTATTCCTTCTCTCTCTTGCCATGTCATTAAGAATAAAATCTAGACATTCACGATTGGAGACATTATTTATTGAACTTCTTCTACATTTTTACCATTAACAAACTATGGGAGATTGTCTTAAAATTTGTGAAAACATTTTGTTAAATGCCCTGCTCTAAACTCTTATTAATTAATCCCCTCCGAATTAAATAAATCATGGTGTTCTTAGTATATAATGAAAAATTTTCATTAACTTAAATTAGCCAGTAAGTCAAATTATATATATACTAACGACTTAGACTTGTTTCACACACAAAGAAATTGTAACAATTCTGTTATATAAATAATAACGTGGAAGCATAATGCCAATCCAATTCTCCACCTTAAGGCCATTGCTTATAAATACCATAATTTCCATTACAAGTCCTGTGAATTTAATTGAGTTGGGCATATTAATTGAGGCTAAAGATGAGAGTTAAGAGTTCAGATGTGATCAAGTTGTTTGTCTTACAATGTCTTTTATTTTTGGCTTCTTCCAAGGATTTTGATTTCTTCTACTTTGTTCAACAGGTTAGCAACTGTTGCCATATACGCACTGCTTTTTAATATTCTATACATGTTTAAATGTTAATTATTTGAGTTACAATGTGGTCCAATTAAAAAATAGAAAAAAACACACAAATAAACAAAACCATGGAGGTACCCCCAATCTTTTTTTTTTTTTATTTGTTTTTTAGAGCAGCAGCACCAAATTCATTCTTTTTTTTCTCGAATATATTGTTTATTCGTTTATCTATGTTTTCTTCTTTTGCCATCCAAACTCAGTTGAAGTGGGATATATTGCTTGTCAGGGAGGAATGGATTATCACTGATTCAATTTGCGGATAATTAAATGAATACCTTATTGATACGTTAAATTTTTTTTAACAATTGTCTAATCGAAAACAAAGTTTCAAATTTAGTGTTTTTAATTAATCTAAAAAATTATTTCAAACCGTTAATTATGGCGGGTCCAAGCTCTAATTTACACTCATTACTTTGGTTTAAAACCTCTAATGTATCCCGTAATCTCTAGTTTGGTCTCAAAACATTGATTAACAAATACGATAACTACTATCTACAAGCATTCAACCTAAGTACAAAATTACTTGAAAACATATAAATCTCATCTCAAGACTAAAAGTGTTTGACTCAATCAATACAATAATTTTTGTATGCTTTTACACCTTTTGTTGTTGATAACATTTTATGGGTGATATTTATATATGAATCGATTAATTACAGTGGCCTGTTTCTTATTGCGACTCGAGACATGGCTGTTGCTATCCGACGACCGGAAAGCCCAATGAAGATTTCGGCATACATGGATTGTGGCCCAATTACGTCAACGGAAAATGGCCGCAAAATTGCGGTCAAAGTTCTTTGGACGAATCATTGGTACTAATGTTTAATATCCTCTTAACATTCTAGGATTTTACTTTCATTGAGTAAATTTTAGTTAGTAATTGACCTTGCGTTGTTACTTGTTAGTCCTGCCAACCATTTGTTACAAAGGGCATGCTAAAATTTTAGTCTAGTTGGGGGCAGTGAGGCTTTTAATTATTCTCAAATTAACCATATCTGAACACCCTAGCTATTTTCATGTAATTAATAAGCATAAAATTAACTACAATGAGATTTAAAATATTATTTGGTTTCTTCATGTTCTCTAGCTAGATGAGGATTTAGTACCTAAAATTTAACCTACATTCTTGAACTTGAGGAGAAAAGAAAAAAGAAATAACAATTTAATCTTAATCCTCTTATATAGCATCATAGATTATAATAGAAAGACACATATAAAACCTTAAAACATTTCAACAATTGAAGGATGAGTGGCCAACTCTTGCTTGGGGGGGTTTTTTTTCGTTTAAAAAAAAGTTCAACATTCTTGAACTTGGGGGGTTTTTTTTCGTTTAAAAAAAAGTTAAAAAAGCTTTCATAGTTTCATTAGTCAAATAATATATATTGATTTGATCTAATAATACTAATTTTTTAAATTTTATATTTATAGATCTCAGATCTTATGAGCAATATGAAGGATGAGTGGCCAACTCTTGCTTGCCCATCTGCAGATGGAATAAAATTTTGGAGTCATGAATGGGAAAAGCATGGGACATGCACATCCCTTGACCAGCACTCTTATTTTCAATCTGCCCTTCTTCTGAAAAGCAAAGCCAACTTGCTCCAACTCCTTTCCAATGCAGGTACTTGTGTAGTTTTACTTACGGTAACGTTGCTCTTTAGGCATATCTAATAGTTACGAAAACATACTTTTATGACAGATATGCATGTTTTTATATTAAAAAAATTAAATAATCGTATGACATATCAAGTATAAGTATGAAGTTCTATTCAAAAGTACGATGGGTCGAACAACCTTAATTCTAGATTGGCTCAATAGTATAATAATTGATTTTGGTTAATTAGGTTGGTGGTCGGTACATGAGTGGGTTGAGTATGTATGTGAAATTTTAGAGAATAATATATAGTAACTAGTACTTCATTTTGTGCACGTGCGCACAGATGGAAACAAAATGTTATAAATTATTGGGTAATTGTTATTTTAGTACTTGTACTATGGAGTAATTGTAATTTTGGTACCTATTCTTTATTTATTGCAAAAATACAACCTGACATTTACGTTTTTGCGAATTTGGTGCCTAGTATTGACGTCGGTTACATTTTCCGTCGACTTCATCTCGCGAATCGCGACTTTGGCTGACTGCACTGCATGACTTTACGTTTCGGGCTCGTTTGGGCTCGTTCGAATTCGGAATTGAGTTCTGTTTTTTTCTACGCGTCGCTAACGAACCCCTCTATTCAATGATGCTTCTATGGCCAAATTATTCTTGAAATACTACTCTCCCAAAGCTTATGACCAACACACCAAAGACGTGCTTTGCGCGACTTCGCGTTTTGGGCCCGTTCGAGCTCGTCCACATTTGAAATTGAGTTCCGATTTTTTCTACATGTCGCCAACGAATACTTTTACTCAACCATGGTTGCCCGGTCAATTTTCGGGCCAAGAAAAACCAAAAAAACACACGACACAATAAACTACAAAAACGAATAAACCCAACGAAAAGTCCTAAAACGGGAAAAAAAGTGACAAAACAATAGGAAAAAACGTAAAAAAAGTATTCGTTGGCGACACTTAGAAAAAAGAGAAACTCATTTCCAGGTTTGGACGAGCTCGAACGGGCCCAAAACGCGAAGTCGCACGAAACACGTCTTTGGTGTGTTGGTCATAAGCTTTGGGAGAATAGTATTTCAAGAATAATTTGGTCATACAAGCATCATTAGAGGTTTTCGTTGGCGACGTGTAGAAAAAAACGGAACTCAATTCCGAGTTCGAACGAGCCCAAACGAGCCCGAAACGTAAAGTCATGCAGTGCAGTCAGCCAAAGTCGCGATTCGCGAGATGAGATCGCGACTCGCGAGATGAAGTCGACGGAAAATGTAACCGACGTCAATACTAGGTACCAAATTTGCAAAAACGTAAATGTTAGGTTGTATTTTCGCAATAAATAAAGAATAAGTACCAAAATCACAATTACCCCATAGTACAGATACTAAATAACAATTACCCTAAATTATATGTATGAAAATAGTATTTAAAATTATTTATGTAACTTAGATATGAGATGTAGCATTTTATAAATTTGATAGTTAGTAATGAATAATATGAATATAAGTTGTTTTACTTAAATATGAATCATAATATTAATTGTATGAAATGTAATGAATAATATATTTTTTGTAATTTTGAAGGATCGTGTTCAATTAATTAGCATGAAAAATATTAAAATTATTATTATTCCATTAAACCAATTAGTTAATTCCCATTTTTAAAAAAATCTCTAAATTAGATGCCAATAAAAAAAGTTAATATTGATTCTAAAATAAATAGTTAGAAAAAAAATGCAATAGCATTTTTAATAAGTATATAACTTTCATGTACTCTTTAGTTAGCATTAATAGTATTCATTATATGATAGAATAGTTAAATTAATATAATTTTACTTATTTAATACAAAATGTAAGTGCCAATTATGACAAAACAAATATCAAAACACGATAATTTTTTTATAAAAAACGTGCTTGCAGGGATTCGTCCTGGGGATTTCTACCATTTCAAAAGCATAAAGCAAGCGATTGAAGATGGGTTAGGGCATGAGCCCTTCATAGAGTGCAATGTTGACCCGAGTGGCAATCACCAGCTTTTCCAAGTCTACTTGTGTGTGGACACTAATGCCACAAGCTTCATCAAATGCCCCATTTTACCACACGGAAGGGCGTGTGGCTCCACCATTGAGCTCCCTTCTTTTTCTTCTCATTATCGCCAAGAATTAAAAGATGAACTGTAGCTAGATTTGTCTAATTGACATTTATATATACACCAACATGCATTCTTAACTGTGACCAATCAAATGTCGTTCCAATTTATTTGATATGTTGAATTCTTGAAGAAAACATTATGTAATATCAAATTTAATAGAAACTAATTGATTCATCTACAGTGGCGGACGCACATACACTTTAGGGGGGCCACAGTCCCCCTTAANAGTATATAATATGTTAGATGATTTATAATAAAGTATTATTGCCCCCTAACATGATTCGTAGCCTGTAGGTTTTTGTTGGGCCTTCACTTTCAAATGCACAACTAACATAAATTAGTCAACATAAGAAAAGGGAAAAAACCAATGGTAGATCCAAAAGCTTATTATGTTTAGTGGCTAGTGCGGTATTGGTGTAGTGGAGTTTGTCAATTAGCTTAAAATATTTTTCACATTAAAAGAACCCTCAGGCCCCAATTACAAAGATGAAAAACGAGACCCCCAATCAATTTGCAATTTTGCACAGCGAAAAAAAAAACCCTTCACTGATAAGCCTGAGGCGCGACGCCAGAGCACAACAAATTCGCATAATACGTCCAATTCCTTGATTCTTCTGAGTATTTTGATAATTTTTTTATATTTGTTAATTCCCTAAATTTGGTCCATATTCATGAATATTGATTAATTTTCTTGCATCCTTTTTAGAAATTTAGGTTTCACAATATAAATTGTTGTATTAATGGTTGCCCCAAAATTTAGTTTAATTAATTGAGTTTTTAAAATGGAGTGTGTGGTTTGTCGATTTGTGTCTGCCAAATAATAGGTTAATCCTTTTGTCAAGATTGTCAACTATTTTGTCATTGTTGTTGTATTTTATAAGTTTATTCAATATTTTATTACTACTTTGTAGAGAATATTTCATAAAAAGATTGTATGCCTTGATCTTCAAATTTGTTGGAATAATAAATGAACAAATGAGTGATTAAGATAATAGCAGGAGTGGATAACTATGTGAATCAAGATATGAGCTTTGTTTGATAATTGATATTTTGGTGTGTTTTAATGAACCTAACATCATCACCATCCACAATAATAAATAAATGACCTATGTCCATTTCAATTTTCAAGATTCTTGAAAAGATATGAGAGTAAGTATGGTAGCTGCTTCTCAGTCAAGTTCTAATTCATAAATCATATATAGGCTTATACCATTTTTTAAATATTAGTGTTATCATTTATTTTATTTTCAGGTATGCAAAAGTCATCAATAATAGACTAGTTTTTCAAGAGAAAATATGATCAAATTGAGGAAGATAATGGAGGACCATCAACTGTTGAGAAAGATGTTACTCGCATTGAAAAAACACACAGAATTGAACCGGTGGTGTTTGATATCAACAAACTTGAACATGACCCAGGATTGCGTATGCCAATATCAAGTTATCTAGTTGATAAAATTGATGAAGTTCGACGAGCTTACATTAGCTACGGTCCTTATCAATACAAAGGAAATTATCCTTCGAGCGGATCTGGGAAGTATTCTCGTCGTTTTCAAGCGTCGTGGTTCAAGATATTTCCGTCTTGGTTAGAATATTCTCCTACAAGTGATGCTGCATTTTGTTTACCTTGTTATTTGTTCAACAAACCAGGTAAGCATCACAGTCAGAATACTTTTATTGTTGATGGGTTCAAAAACTGGAAAAAAGTACGGAATGGAAAAGATTGTGCATTTCTAAATCACATTGAAAAAGATCATAATTCATTGCGCCAAATTGCTGAGAAATCATGTGGGGACCTAATGAATCAAGCTTAACATGTTCGGCCACTTATTGAAAAACAATGTTTTGAACAAATTGCAAAAAATAGATTACGGCTTGAAGTTTCAATTGTTTTTGCCGGTTTCTTACAAGTCAGGGTTTGGCTTTTAGAGGCCATGATGAAAGTAAAGAGTCTCTTAACCGTGGAAATTTTCTTGAATTTTTGAGTGCTATGTCTAAACTTAATGAAAATATTGCAAATGTCGTATTAGACAAAGCACCTCAAAATGCCTCTTATACATCCCCGACTATCCAAAAAGACATTTTACTTGTTATCTCAAAGAGGATAAAAAAGGTGAGTCGTGAAGAAATTGGGGATGCAAAGTTTTGCGTTATTGTTGATGAGGCCAGAGATCAATCGAAAAGGGAGCAAATGGGTATTGTCTTGAGATTTGTTGATATTTGTGGGTTTGTTCGGGAGCGTTTCTTTGATCTTGTACATGTTTCTGATACAAAGGCAATAACTCTGAAAGATGCAATATTCTCTACCCTTTCTCGTCACAATCTTGACATTCAAAATATTCGGGGTCAGGGATATGATGGGGCGAGTAATATGCGTGGTGAATTCAACGGGTTACAAACACTAATTGCTAAAGAATGCCCATATGCATATTATGTGCATTGTTTAGCTCATCGGTTGCAATTGGCGTTGGTTGGAGTATCTAGAGAAGTTATCCCCGTCCACCATTTTTTTACAAAGTTAAATTTTATCATAAATGTGATGGGTTCTTTTTGTAAACGTGTCGATGAATTAAAAGCGGCCCAAGCTTCTGATATTGCTTACTTGATTTCTATTAATGAGCTTGAAAAGGCGTCTGTACAAAATCAAATTGGCAGTTTACAACGAGCAGGAGACACACGGTGGGGTTCACACTTGAGGTCGATTTCTAGCTTGTTGAATTTGTTTAGTGCAGCTTGCTCGGTTTTGTTGTGCATCATTGATGAGGGAAATTGTGATCAACGAGCCGATGCAGATTCGGCTTACATTTCATTGACCTCTTTCAAGTTCGTCTTCATCTTGCATCTTATGAAAGAGATAATGGAAATAACTGATACGCTTTGTCAAGCTCTCCAATGCAAATCTCAAGATATTGTGAATGCCATGCAACTTGTTGGCACTACAAAGAGGCTAATCAAAAAATTGAGAGATGATGGATATGACAGTCTCTTTGGCAAGGTAAAATCTTTTTGTGAATATCGTGCGATAGATATTCCTAATGTTAATGATTTATATGCTGAAAGAGGAGGACGATCTCGGAACAAACAAAATCTATTTACAGTTAGTGATCATTACCGTATTAATATTTTTACGGTTACGATAGATTGTCAACTCCAAGAGTTAAACAACAGATTTAATGAGCATGCCATGAAACTACTTGTTCTTAGCTCTATGTTTGATCCCCGCAATTCTCGATTGTCTTTTAATATAGATGACGCTTGCCTTCTTGTCAATGAATTTTATCCAAGAGACTTCACGGATTATGAAAAAGATTACTGCAAGTTCAATTGCGACATTATGAGATTGATGTTCTGCAGCATTCAGAATTTCAAAATTTGTGTACGATCTCTGATTTGTGCCAATGGATGGTGAAAGCAGAAAATCTTTAATTTATCCGTTGATTGATAGATTAATAAGGTTGATTCTTACTCTTTCTGTGTCTACGATAACCACCGAGAGTGCATTCTCGGCTATGGCTATTGTTAAGTCCAAGCTTCGAAGTAAAATGGAGGATGACTTTCTTGTAAATTCTTTGACTATCTTCGTTGAAAGGGAAATTGCAAGATCTATTACTGCCGAGTCAATCATCAATGGGTTTCGTGACTTGAGAGAACGTCGAGCACAATTTTGATGGTTACAAAGTTTGAACGGTATGCATTTTATTGAACTTCTTTTTTTGTTCTATTTTTGAAATGTAACTTTATCTTTTCAATGAAATATATCATGATTAAAAATTATTTAGTCCCCTCCCCACTTAAATTTTCTAGATCTACCCCTGTTCATCTGCAATGCGTACGCTTTTACAAATCATTCCGATAATATTAGTGAATTATTTTTACTCCTTAAAATACAGTATGAGTATCACAAATTGCGTTGACATTTGTTTTTTATTAGGAATATCCCATTATAGATGAAAGATTCAGTGATCATATAATCCATACAGTTTTGTTGAAGTCAACAGTTGACTCCATAGTAGAGTCAACCTTCTATATACAATAAGTAAACCATACCATATTCTAGTATTATTTAAGTAATCAAATAATATGGTATGATTTACTTGTTGTATATAGAAAGTTGGCTCCACTATGGAGCCATCTGTTGGCTTCATAGAAAAACTCATAATCTATAATTACCGAATTATATGAGTTAGTATGTTCCCACCATTTTTTTCTTTTTTACTCAAGATGTTGCCATGAAAATTAGTTTCATATGAACAGAATTAATGTTCAACCATGATATGACATCCAAATATTAGCTACGTTACGATATGTAATCATAAAAACTAAGCTCGGTTACGATATATATATATGGAGAGAAATGATCATATGAGAGTGGTAGATAGTGAAAGAAATAAGAACGATTCTGGACTATTGGATCCAACATATTAATGGTCATGATCTAATCAAATATTAAATGTAGTAATCAAACATGAGATGGCAATATTGGAAATATGTGTACAATTCATGGTCAAATATAAACATTTGACCACAAATTAAGGGTAAAATAGGCAACTTGTTACCAAACCCATCAGCATGTGGGGCACATCTCCAACAACATAAAATCCTATCATCCACCTGCCATCGTCCCAACTGTCGCCTTAATCAATACCTTTCACCCCCTCCCCACCCCCGAACACACACACACACCATAATTTCAAAAACGGCATTCGCCACCACGAGTTTCGTCGGAGTCAAACCGCCTCCTCCATCAGCCCGGTGTATTCCATCACTGCCGCCGCCATATCCGATATCGAAGCTGCAGTAGGAAATTATCACTAAGTCGCTCGTTACAACCCTATTTCGCGGCGTGGATCCCACGACTAGTGATGGAAAATGCCGTTTGCTACAGATGACTACTCCACTATTTTTATCTCTAACCGAATATCCTCCCGAATCAGTAGCTCCTGCTAAGCACTCAAATGGCTAGCACATCTCGACACTTCCGACTACAAACGTCGGTCGACACGTCAGCTCTCTCAGGTAGCTAATCGTGCCATCACTCCTAAATGAGCTTAAACCACCTTTTTTTTCAAATGATAGGAATTTCATTCACCCAGAACAAATTTACAAGCCGGAAGCTAAATGTACAAGCTGGAAGCTTAAACCACCTTCATTGCCCGAAATTTCGCACTTCGAGATCCTATCGCAAAGCCTCTTTTCGTCTAAGTGTTTTTAGTATTGGCTTTAGATGCTCCACGGCATATCCAGAATAGACTACGATGTGATCGGCATACATGACGACTGATTGGTCTTAGACTTCCTCGGTAGCGTTTAATTATTCTTCCTCGTCGTTCTGTTGAGTTCACGTTAGTCGACGTACAACCTTCTTCTTCATGAAATGTATCTGTGCTTCCGGTGTCATGTTGATAGTGAACTCGCCTTGCTCGTTTGTTGGTCCACCTAGCAGCTCCTCCGAAAAGGCTCCTAAGTACTCGCGAATGATTGGTACGTCTTTAGTTGATGGTTCCTCATTCTCGTTCTTGACTGTGTTCTCCAACAGTCCTTGGCTACCGTCCTTATAGATTCTTCGTAATCCTTCGTATAGATTACCCTTGGCATAGTCTTCATTTCTGATTCATAGAGAGAAGTCTTCTCGACTCTCTTCATGAAAAACTTCGTATCACGATCATAATATTGGATGTCTTCTTGGCATCGGATGTGCCAATCCTCCCGAGAATTACGTCGAAGTCCTTCTCATCGATCAGGTATGCTTTGCCTTCTACATTCGTTCTTTCAATGCTACATCCAACTCGATCACCAGAGAATATGTATCCATCGTCTTTCTCGAGGCTAAGTTATCCTCAAGAGTCACGACGGTATTTGCACTATTGAGTTTGCTACGACTTGGTGGCAACACATTTTCAATATTCACAAACTTTGCAAACAAATAAGAACAAGCGGAACCGAAGAAGATTACTCTTACTTGTAAACAAAGTCTCAAAACAGAGTCGATATTAAAACATAAGATGAACACAAGTTGCAAAAGTTTAAGATAAAAAAAACTAAAGAAAACAGAGAAACACTACTCCTTCATCTTGAGTCGGTCGGCTTGCAGTAATTTATGCTCACCTTCTTCAATCGAACCTCCTTCTTATCAGACAGGAATGTCAAACTTGTCTTGATCTGGCGTCCTTTGGTGGTTGTCTCGAGTATGTCTCTGCTACTCTATGACACTCCTTTCGGTGACGTTCACTCCTCCCGATCCCCACTATTTTCCTCCACGGTCCTTGGTTTCGATGAGCACGTGTAAAAGGCACTTGCTTCCACCCTTGCACTCAATGGATAGATTATATCATGTCTCCGCTAGTCCTCTGGTCATACGCTTCAGACTTTCAAATAATACCACACACTTGGGACTTCTTCGATTGTCTGCTTCTTTTTAGGGCATCCAGACATCAGTCACAAGATATCCGTGGTGAATCCCCTTTACTTAAGCCCTTCTCATTCAGCGAGATGGCTTGCGGGTATCCTCGCTCGAAAACACTATACCGAAACTTATAGCGAGAAAACTTCTAGAGTCAGAACTTACTTTACTAAAACTAAAGTTAAAGCCAATACAAAGAGGATAAATTCCTAAGCCCCAAATTATACGGTTACGCAAGCAGATAACAGAACTAACATATACCTTAAGCTGGCGCGGCATGACGAAGACGAGTGGTCATTAACACAGACACTTAGAAAAATTTTCAAAAGCAGTCTACAAGACGTAGACCTGCTCTGATACCACCTTGTAACGCCCCGTTATTTATATAAGAAAAATTCTAAATTTTCCCAAAATTAGAGTTAAAGTTTTGCAAATCATTTTAAATTTGAAAGCGATTAATGGGCATTACTCAATTCAAACTCAAAATATTAGCTTAAGTACCAACTCAAGCCATTGGAAATGAACCATCCCAAATCTACACCTAGCATTATATTAAACCAAACAATATAGCATGTTCATCAACAAGTCTCATAAACAATATCATAATAATTAGTTCAAATCGGAGTTCAAGATAGGCATAATAATTGAAATCGGAGTTCAATCGGAGTTCCCATCGTCAGGAACTTACCACTGGCAAATCCCATCAGTAGGAGCAATAATCAAGGGCTATTAATAGGAGAACGTCGGCAACAACATCAACAGAGATACACTCTCATAGACTAATGTTCACATGCATACATTGGTTATAAAGAATAACGAACATGGTAAGGTTTATCAACACCAACCTGATTCGACGACTACTACGCAAACGACTCGCTAGGTCACTGAGGCTCAACTCCTCAGGTACATAGATTAAATCGAGATAATATCTCAAAATACTTATCTTGAATTGAAAAGTCATACTTAGTTGAAATTATCGATTAAGTAGTTCGTGGAATTTTCTGTGGAATTTGGAACTCTCGGATTTAGGGGAAATACTAGGAAAAATATTCTAAAAAGGCTAAAACTGAGATTGACATGAAGAATGAGGTTTCGGATCAAAAAATCACCAAACAGCTCAAAAAAATGGGTTTTGGATCGCGTAGACCGATATGGGTGCGGGCAGGGCGTCTGGGCGCGCTGGGGCTGGTCGGGACGCGTCTGGGTTCTATTGGGGCGCATCTGGTGTCGATGAGGGTCGTGTGGACTCTCTGGGCCATGGATACTACGCGTATGACGTGCACGCGGAAAGCGAGAATCACGCGGGCGAAAAGGGTTGGCGTCTAGGGGCGTCGGTTGTGCGCCTGGGTGCGGGCGGTACGCTGCTAGGGCTGCGGGTGATACAGGGACCGTGCGGGCGACGACTGTGGCACGGGCGGCGGCTACGGGTCTCAACATCTAACTGCGGGCCCTCGCAACGCGCGCGTGCCACTACCGAGAGGATAGGATTTCAAGAAAACATTAGTCGGGCAAGCGTAATCAAATAGAAGAATTTGTTGGCATCACGCATGAGAAAATGGAATCAGATTCCGAGTCTAAACGAGTGTATACGAGCCAAAAGTGTAAGGTCGTGCGACATGGACCACGAGATGCCCAGGCGCCGCGCCAGTGCCGCACCGCGACTATGCCACGAGATGGACAGAGCCTCCAGCGTTCACCCTGCCACGCCTGCGAGAAGTGCCGCGTCGTGAAGCCTTGGTCTTCCGCGCCGCGAGGCCTATGCCAGGCCGTGAAGAACACCTCTGCCGCGCCGCAAGGCCCCATCACGCCGCGGCCAACACCTCTACCGCGCCGCGCCCCGCCCCTGCCACGACTTGGACAGAAGATGTGCCCAGACAGACCTCCGCGCCGCGCAATGCCCCCACGCCGCGGCACATGCCCCTGCCGCGCCCGTGATGGTCCTTCGCGCTGTTGCGCTGTACCCTACCACGCCGTGATTCCGTGCTGCCTATAAATATGAGGTCGGGATTGACTAAACATATATCTTTCATTCAAAAAACCAAAAACCCTACCACATTGTCCTTTCTCTCGTTCTTTTCATTTTTCTTCATCTTTCGGATTCAAGCTTGTTTATCAGATTCAACCTTGGGATTTATCAAACGTATGATTTCTATTTTAACTTTATCGTTAAATATGAATTCTTTGATTGAGATGATTGTTGATGTTGAATTGATTATGAGTAGCTAAATCCTTATGCTTGGGATAGGGGATTAATGTTTTGGATTTGTTTGTGATTGTTGGGATTTATTGATCGTTCAATTTGTACGAGTTGATCTTTAAAAATGGTTTTTCAATTATCACGTTTGAATGTTGAGAATTGTTGAAGGGTGACACTTAACTTCCAATTGTTTCAATTGAATTTGATTTATTCGTGCATGATGTTGGTGATTCTTATTGATTAGTTGGTTAACAACCCTCTAGTCTATCTTAATCGACTCTTTGAATCGAAAGGGGAGGAGTCGGTCGAAATAGGCTCGTATAAACTAGGCTTGTTCGTAACTGTATTGCCTAGCCGTTAAATGACTTGTTAATCTTGCCGTTCAAGTTTGTCCTCTTGTTACGAAGAGTTATTGAGGATGAGTACTTGAACTAGTAGGTTATTAAAATCTCTTAACCGAACAATCAATTGCCCATTAATTGCAATTCGAACCAAAACGGATATCCCCGACTCCCCAGCTCCTTAAATCCTGCTTGTTCTTCGTTGTTGCTTTCAAAATTTCTATTACTTTATTTAAATTCTCTTAGTAGTTGATGATTAAAACCAAAACCAACCATCTGAATTAGAAAGTTTAGGAATTTTATTTTCTTTTTCTGTGACTGAATATTCGTACAATTTAATCCGGCTGACCTTCCTTGAGACACGACCCGGTGTTTGAATCTTCCGATTCTACTCCAGAAAAATATTTACAACAAAATTGGTGTCGTTGCCGGGGAAGGTTTAGGACGTATTTTGTGCACTTATTCACTTTGTTTTTCATATTTCTCTTCGTTTTTGTGTTTTTCTTTTTCTGTGTTTCTCTTTGTTTTATTTTCTCTTAATTACCGTTGGTGCTCGTAACTTGTTTGTTGTTTGAGTCTATGCGTACCAGGAGTGGTCGTGTACTAGCACCGAACGACAAAACCAACCCCGAGAACTTGAGTGAGCTGTTCGACAAACTCAACCTCGAATCATCCGAAATCAGCAAACCAGAGATGGCTCAACAACCTCCCCGTGATCTCCTCCGAGACCTGGCCCAACCCATGATCGGGCCAATCACTTCTTGTATCAGGTTGGGGCAAGACGCCTGAAACTACGAGCTGAAGATGATCCACTACAATCAGCTTCCATCATTCCACGGGCTCCCCAACAAAGACCGACTCCATTTTCTTTTGGAGTTATACAATGTCCTCCAGACGTTTCCTCTACACGGGTTGAACGTGGACCAACTCAAAATGAGGTGTTTCCCAGAGACTCTGAAGGACCGGGCCAAGGCATGGTTCATGACCCTCGCCCCGTATTCTCTAACAACTTGGGCCGAAGTCTACTCGAAATTTGTCGGGAATACTTCCCATTAGAAGACCCAAGACATCCGGTCCCATATAGTCTCTTTTGCTCAACTGCTAAACGAGCCTCTTCACGAGGCTTGGGAACGTTTCAAAGACCTCCAGAGGCAGTGCCCCACCACAACCTCGCTCTAAGGCTATTAGCAAATTACTTCTACGACTCCCTCCACCAGAACCTGCAGTATATGGTAGACAACGCAGCCGGAGGGGATTTTGGGGCCAAAACAACTGAAGAGATGATTGCGATCTACGAGATGATGAATGCCAACTCGTCTCAGAAAAGTATCAGAGGGAAGAGGTCCACAGTGAACGAGGTCGGACTAGGCAATAATGTCATGGCCCAGCAGTTAGCCGAGCTCCGGGAGCAGATGCGGCTACTGAATGCTAGAAGTTCCTCTCCGATTCAGACTATGGCCGTGAATGTTTGCGGCGCATGTGGAGTGCAAGGACACAGTTCAGAAGTGTGCTCGTTGGCTGTCGAACTGAGCTACGGAGGCCAGCATACTGAGGTAAATGCATTGCAGGGTTATCAGAACCGGTCAGGAAACGACCCCTACTCGAACACATACAACCCTGGGTGGTGAAACCACCCTCACTTCTCATGGGCCAATAACCACTATCAACAGCCACCTCAAACCAACTTTTTCCCCCAGCTGCAGCAACCCAAGGGAATGTTAAGGTGGCCAGCACCAGCCCAGGGAGCCGAACAGAGTCCGCCAAACTCAGACGAGAAGCTAGATAAGATCCTCCAGTATTTGGCCAACAACGAAAAATGGACCATGAACAATGAAGCCTCCATTAAGCGCCTCGAGATGCAAGTGGGGCAATTGGCTACACATGTTGGAGGTATTGAGACCGAACTGAGTAAGGAAAAATTGCCAAGTTAGCCGGAGCATGTTAATGCAGTTACAGTGCTGATGCCCGAGCCAGAGGAGAAGGCAGATGGCCAAGTGGAGAAAGAGGGTAATGAGGGTCCGAGGAAGCAAGAGCTGAAAGAAGAGCCCCTAGTGACACCACCATCCGAGCCTGCCCTACATAAATCCCAGAATCCCTATAGGCCGAGGATCTCTTTTTCAGGCCGATTTTTGGAAGAGAAGGACCGCCGGATGATTCGAGACCTTCATGCAATGTTAGTTAAGGCCAACGATGACCTATCTCCTTCAGACGTGATGAAAAAGATACCAACATATGCAAGATTTTTCAAGGAGGTAGCGGCGAATAAGTAGAGGCTCGAAGGTAGTGAAGAGGTGCTCGTGTTCAAAGCGGCTAGTGTCTTCCAGCACAACTTGCCGAAGAAGAAAAAATTCCCCGGAGGCTTTGTGATCACTATGGCTTTTGGGAATGGGGAAGAGACCTCGGGCATGCTTGATTTAGGAGCGGGGATAAACCTCATGCCACTTGCAGTTTATCACCGGCTCGGGCTTGGAGACTTGAAGCCCACCAAGATGCGCCTACAGCTGGCTGATCGCTCGTTCCACCAACCAGCAGGGATTGTGGAGGATGTGGTCGTCCGAGTGGGGAAGTTGATAGTCCCTGTGGACTTCGTCGTACTCGATATGGGGAACGTACAAGAAAATGAGAAGCAGCACACCACCCTCCTTGGGCGACCCTTCATGGCTACTACCTGCACAGTTATTGATGTAAAGAAAGGGACTACGAGCATGACTGTGTTGGGGGAATCCACCTTTATTTCCACCCGAGAGTTGCAGCATGAGCCGAAAGTGAAGCTGGTAGAAAAGTGCGCTTACCTCAGGGCGATTGAGCAGCTCACTAAGGACGCGTGTATGCGAGAACACGCGAAGAGATCATTGCAGGACCATGTCCATGTCTAGAGGGAGCACCGTACCGACCGCCACACTACCCCTCTCCAGCCGAGTTATAAGGAGTTGCCCCGGTCCGAATGGGGCGAGAGATTTGAGTTGTCAGAGGCCCGCCGCTGTTCGAGGCCTGACTACCTCCACCCTCCACCTGCACCACCTGATACACAGTGACTCATCTAGTCACTGTGCCCTGTACGTCTGTATTTTTTCCCTTCTCTTTATTTTTCGTGTTTGGTTTAGTGCCTTTGATTTTATGTCGGTTGATTATGTGGGATAAACTTTCTTAACACTGATGATCGACAATGGGGACATTGTTTGGTTCTAAGTGTGTGGAGTTTTTACATGATTATGTGTCTTATATGGTTGACCAGGTCAAGGTTTTTTTTTAGGGTGTTCTTCATTTTCATATTTGGTTTAGTGTCTCTTCTTAAGTCAGTGTGTGTGTTTTGTGAGTATGGATTATGGTGAATTTTAAGATTTGTTGATGATTGTTGATGATGTTGAGGAGATGTGATGATGAGCATGACTAGTATGCCTTGATGAACTTGATGTGTCGTTTTGTTGGACATTTATCTACCTTATGTGAGGTTTGAGCCTTATGTTGTTTCTTGAGAGATATTGGTCGTAATCTTTGGTGATCAAAACTTGGTTTGAGTCTGTTTTGAAATGAAGCAATCGAATTGGTGTAATGTGAAAATGATTGACTATTTTATTATTGCCTTTAATTATGTATATGCTTAATTGATTTATTGCTTATCTGCAAGAAAATTAATAGGAGCATGCTTAGAGAAATCTCTTAATTAAAATATTAACTGTTTAATGGAATTAAATAAACTTAAAATTCCACAACCTCCATTATAGGTTTGTCAATGAAGTTATTAATATTTGTGTCCTGGCATTAGGGCCTTCCTCCACTACCGAACAAATTTTAATCCTAGTTCACAAGGACAAATCTCATTCGGGATGATAGTAGAAAACTATTTCAAAAGCGTGGCAGATGTAAAATTTTGGTAGTGGACTTAGTACCAAGTAATGGATCACACTTAGAGTACATTTAGTTATGGTCTCCACCACCGGAGTAACCATTTTTATCTGTATGGGCCAAAAGTGGACTGACTATTAATTTGCGTTAATGTGTCGACACATATAATTAATGGGTTAAAACCCTCCTCTTGCGACGGTATGAGCCATCCTTTCTCTTTCCCGACTGGGTAAGGTCGATTTTGACTTCTTCCATTACTGCTTCGTAGCCAAGTTCTAAAGCAAGGGTATCTACCTAGCCTCTCGTCATAAAGCCAACTTCATTTCTGATAGGCCCAACAATGTCTCCAACTTGAAAATGAGATTTTTCTTCCTTCGACCTCCAACTCCTCTACCTTTTGCTCCCAAGCCTTGGTTAATCAAACCTCCTATGACGTACGACCCGCCAGCTCGCAACACCAATTACGACTTTATGATTGCCATGTGGGGTCAATCAAAGTTCGTTTCTGGGAAAATTTCAAAATTAGTCCCACGGGTATAGGGGGTGACAATTTTGGTCCCGACGAAATGCACAAAATATGAATAGTCCCACAGCTTTTAAAAAATGATCAAAAGTAGGACTTTTTCGCCGGATTTACTATTTCCGGCCCGGAGCGCCACGTGGCGTACACGTGGCGCACACGTGGCTTATTTTTTACACGCTGGCATCCGACGTAGATAGGAAAAAATTCAAAACTAGTCCCACAAGTATAGAGGTGTGACATTTTTGGTCCCGATGGAATGCAAAAGATTCAAAACTAGTCCCACAACTTGTAAAAAAATATGAACACGTCGGATGTCACGTGGCATTCCGGGCCGGAAATAGTAAATCCGGCGAAAAAGTCCTACTTTTGATCATTTTTTAAAAGCTGTGGGACTATTCATATTTTGTGCATTCCGTCGGGACCAAAATTGTCACCCCCTATACCTGTGGGACTAATTTTGAAATTTTCCCGTCGTTTCCTCCATGCTGCTCAATGATGAGTGGCTCCTATACCATTGTGATCTTTCGACCAAAGTGGACGACTTACTGTCCGATGAAGAACTTGGTAAGATTGAGTTATATTCTATTTTCCTTTCGTATGTGTGAATTAATAATTTTCTTTTATTTATTGTGGAGAAGCGTCTCGAGATGGCCAAGGGTCCCACTCCTGCCGTCAGCGCCGAAGGAGGTCAAGAGACCTCCCAAAAGCAGAGGGTCCTCAAACCACGAGGACTACTTTTCGGGCTGTCAACCCCTCAGTTAAAAAAGGAAAGCAAAGGATACTGTGGCGATCGAGATCGACGAGGGTCGGGCTGACACTAGTGTCGAGTCTGGCTAACAGCGACCCCCCAATTCGACCAACGAAAAGGATACAGTGGTCGACTATGAGCACTGGGGAAAGAAAATCTAGTTCGACGAGGAGACTCTCATCGTGCCACCTCATTCCCATACCACAACAGCCAAGGCCACGACCATCGCGTCGTACTTGGCCAATGTTTTACCTCCGGCCGACACTGGTCGATGGGGTAGCGATAGGAAAAGGCGGGCTAAGGATGTAACCCGTGGTCTCGGGCATGTACCACTTGGGTATTTCCTTCTCTTCCTTGTGTTTTTATCTTAGTCTTCGCTTTATTATTGTTCTGACCGCTTATTCTTTAGGTCTAGCGGGTCTTGTGCCTATGCACAATGAAGACCTGGCCAAGCAGAATGAGCTCCACAAGGAGATATCTCAACAGAATGACCACCAACAACCACGACCTTTGCAAGAGGATGGCTACGTTGAATCAGTTGTTTCAGGTCCTTATTGCTCAGAACAAAGAGCTAGGGTGGAAATTGGTCAACCGGTAGACTCTACATCAAGAGTCTTCAAAGGCGGCTTCCCATACTGCACCTGCAGAACTCTCACACCGGAGAGGGTCTCCGGTGAAGAGCCTCAAATGCAAGTCAGTATATGTGGAAGATGAATTGCAGAGAGGAAAACTCTCTGGAAGAAGAAAACTCCACCTTCCAAAAGAAGAAAAAGATAAAGAAAAACCACATCAGGTAAAAATGGATCTTATAAATTGTTTTTGCAATTTTCAATATCATATCGTTAGCATTATCTGCATCGATAATAAAAATATTATAGTACCAGTGTTAATTGACACCAGTACAACATGCTCATACATATCATCTGAATTTGTTGAAATTCTGTTTGGTATTCCAAAAAGAACTATTAAAAACTCTAAGTGGATTGAGAAAACCTTTATACAAGGAACAAAGATCAAGTTCGAATTATCTGGGTTCCAGATGATAACTTGCTCACTCCTCGTAGAAGAAAATTCTAAAGAATTTGTTCTTGGAATAGATTTTTTAGAAAAATTTGAATATCAGATAACTTCTGATTACTTGATTCTAGGGGATTTAAAACATCCTAGAATAAAACTTTCAAAAGAAGTTATTAGAAATCTTTTTCAAAGATGAAGATCGTCGAGCAAATTGAAGATCAAAATGAACTTTTCATAGACGCTTTACTTTGCAAAAAGATTGAAAAATCTGATTTTTCCATCAAGGAAAATGAAAATTTCAAAACAAGTCTTAAACAAGATTTGAAAAGGGTATTTTTCCACGAAAATATTTTAAAGTTTAGTATAATGACTGGTGAAGTTGTTGTTCCAATTGAAAACACAGATGGTAGTATTTTGCTATCTACCATAAACTAAGACCAAATCCGTAAACGAATTTTATCGTTATCGGAAAAGGAAAGAATCGGAATGAAATATATTCATATTTCCACGATTCAAATAATTATTAAAAGTACTTTTCTGAAAGGGATAAATTCTCCTTTAGAATTGATACTAAGAGATAATCGATTGATTAATCTCAACGAATCTAAGATTGCTGAGGGAACCGGTAATCTCAAGATGGGAAAAATCAAGTTTGATATAAATCTTCAGATGGGACTCTCTCTGAAAGATTTAAATCTTGATAGATCTATAATTTTAAATTATAGGTTGTTAAGAAAAGATTTTATGAAGCAAGAAAACCATCCGTTTTCCATCTGTTATAAAATCAACTATGCTTTGAGTAATTCACATCATAGCATAGAATTCATGCATAAGGATCGAATCTTTATTGATGAATTATTTAATAAGATTTTATATCTAAAAATCCCAATCTGCAGAAACCTAGAAAATTCCAGTGTGACTAAAGAAAGGGAAAATGTTTTTAAAACTCTTCAGAAAATAACACCTCCCGTTGGTGAATTTTCTAAAGAAGATGAGTCTCAAAAACTCAGAAATATGGTTTATAATCTGCAACATCAAGTTACAGATTTAAACAATAAAATATAATGCCTGCTATTTCATGGGAATATATTTTAGAATCAACTATTCAAAAGTTGAAAGTTAAATATCGAACTTTAGTTCGAACTAGCGATAAGAATTTGATTGTTTCAGATATCGAAAGAATAGCTTATAGCCTTCGACTCGTTCAAAACGAGAATCCATTAGAACCCCAGAATCTGAGGTTTGTAAAAAATGGATTTATCATGGCAGAGTCTCATCTTTCACATGATTATTCCGCATAAATCACAGCTTCAAATGATGTATTCATTTGATTCGTGTGCCTTTTCAAAAATGGTATCAGAGCCTGACAACAGGTGAAGATATTTAAAATTTGAAAGTGGTTAAAAACTTTTCAAAAATTATATATTAAGGGCAAATCTGTACTACACTTGGTTGTAAACCATGTTGTAAACAAGGTTGTCTAAGACCACCTCCAATCGAACTGGAAAACGCAAAATGAGGGAAGAAAATTGCTCCAACCGAATCTCAAACTCATACCCAAAATGCGTTTGGCATCATTTTCTCTCTCCTATTGACGCAAATATGCGTTTGCATCTCAGGACATCGCATAATTTTTATGCAATCACAAATCAGTCCTCAAATTTTTTCAAATGTCCAATTTGCTATCTATTAAATTTATATAATATATCTATTTGCTTTATATTTATAAAATACTATCACTATTTATATGAAAAATGGTTAAATATATTTATTTACTTTATATTTCTAAATTACTATTTGTTTGAAATATTATAACAATCATATACTCAAATTAAAAAAAAAAAGTAGAATATTGTACCTATGTTAATATTACTGATAGTTTATATGTTAATAATAATTATTATTATATCTATAACATTTTCTAAACATTTTATTACATGTTTTAATAATATTGAGGTGTAATTTTATTACATGTTTTCAAATATGTATAATTTTATTACATGTCCGTAATTTTATTACATGTTTTCATTTATGGTATTTTTATTTAATAAGAAAAAAAAAACACTAACATTAAATAACAACAACATTACTAATACAAATTGAAATAACATTAAAACGTGATACAATACGATTTAAAGAAAACCATTTAAATAACAAGTGCTGAAATGAAATACAACATCACACAGTACTAAAATAAAAGTACATCATAAAGCCACAAACTAAAAACAAGTACGGGAATCTAGTAATCTGGTAAGTTGGCACCGCTTCCTCCCAGATCATTGAAAAATTGGCCAAATGTATTGGTTGGAAATGGATCCGATTGGGCTTGTTGAGCTCTTTTCTCCAAGATTCGTGCTTTTTCAGCTTCAACGTATGCTCGAACTCTAGGATCTGCTATGGAACTGACATCTTGAAGCAGAATTCTATTTTCTTCTCTCATTTCTTTTAAAGCGTGAGATCTGTCGCGTATTTCCAGTTGATTTTTTATTTGATTGTTTGTATTTTTCATCTCCTCAACAAGTCTTTTGTTTTCTTCCTTCATAGCATTGATGAGCGACGATGAATCATCATTTACCTTTCTTTTTACTTTGACTTTCTTCACCCCGATAGGTCTTTCAGATAGAGAACCACAAGCAAATTGATCCGAGTCGCTTAAATTTAGAGAAAATGAAGAAATACCTGGGGATTCTTGTCGGGCAGACTCGGGAGTTGGATTTTCTGACTCCGAAGATGGATAACGACCAGATTGATTTTTCTTACTCCTCGAAGCTCCATCTTGAAATTTTTCAAAGTTTTTAATAATATTCCAAACATGGTCGTATTTCCATCCGGATTTGAATTTGGAATCTTCTTTGAACAACATTTTTGCTTTGAGCATATACAATTTTTCAATAAACAATCAAACATAGCTAATATAAATAATAAATTTAATAAATAAAAAATATAATAAGATTTTAATACTCACTGTATCTTCATTTGAAGCACCACTTTGATGCATATCTTCTACTGCTTTTATGCATGCATGGAGTCTCTTGGCTGCTTTTTCGATTGTTTGAATCCGTGCTTGCATAGATCTCTGGCTACGAACCTCCCAATGCTCAAGTCTTTGTTCATTGAAAGCTTTTTCTATACGTGACCAAAATCGGTCAGATGATTGGTATACCCCAATACATGGGTCTTGAGAAATATCCATATAAACCTGACATAAAAGAATATCTTCATCGTGGTTGTAGGAAGATGAATGGATCAACATTCTTACAAGAGGTTAGATGTGATAAAGGTTTAGTGTATAGAATAAAAATGTTAGGATGTAGTGAATGAGCCTCTCCCCTCTTAATATCATGTCTTCTTTTATAGTGAATGAGCCTCTCCTCTCTCAATGGTTTAACCCGAAATGAACGCCCTCTGTAAAGGTGACACGTTTCTCCACGTTCTGACTCGAAAATGACATATCACTGCATGTTGCTCACACCTCTCAATGTTTTGACCCGAAAATGAGCACTCTATGCAAAGGTGGCACGCTTCTCCAAGTTCTGGCTCAAAAATGACATATCACTGCAATGTTCCCCACACCTCTCAATGCTTTGACCCGAAAATGAGGACTCTCTGCAAAGGTGACACGCTTCTCCAAGTTCTGACTCGAAAATGACATATCACTGCAATGTTCCCCACACCTCTCAATGCTTTGACCCGAAAATGAGCACTCTCTGCAAAGGTGGCACGCTTCTCCAAGTTCTGACTCGAAAATGACATATCACTGCAATGTTCCCCACACCTCTCAATGTTGTGACCCGAAAATGAGCACTCTCTGCAAAGGTGGCACGCTTCTCCAAGTTCTGACTCAAAAATGATATATCAGTGCAATGTTCCCCACACCTCTCAATGCTTTGACTCGAAAATGAGCAATCTCTGCAAAGGTGGCACGCTTCTCCAAGTTCTGACTCGAAAATGACATATCACTGCAATGTTCCCCACACCTCTCAATGCTTTGGCCCAAAAATGATGACTCTCTACAAAGGTGATCACGATTCACCATGTTATGACTCGAAAATGACATATCACTGCAGTGTTCCTCACACCTCTCAATGTTCCCCACACCTTTCAAATTCACTACTATAAGAACATGACATATACTAAATCCTTCACACACTTGAATCTCTTCAAACATCTTATCATATTTCTCAATCCCACATTTCTACAATGAATTTTAATTTTGGCAATTCGTCATCTTCTTCATCTGATTCTGAAGATGATCATATACTAATTATGACTGCTCTTCGTAAAAAACAAGCAGTGATATCTCGTGTTATCGCTAATAACAACATCATCATTCAACACCTTCTCAATCAACAAAACTAAGAAGCCTCCCATGAAGGTTCTGTTCCTGGGCATATTGTTATCAATTGTGATCGAGAGGCTGCTGATCGTAGGTTATACAATGATTATTTCTCAAAAAATCCATTGTATAACGAGACCATGTTTCGTAGAAGATACAGAATGTCTCGCTCGTTGTTCCTTCGAATTGTCGATGCAGTCAAAGATCATGAGCATTACTTTCAACAACGAGTGGATCGAGCTGGCAGACTTGGATTATCTCCAATACAAAAAATAACTGTTGTCTTTCGTATGTTGGCATACGACGTTCCAGCAGATGCTACAGACGAGTATGTCAAAATTGGTGAGTCTACTGCAATTGAAAGTATGAAAAAGTTCTGTCGAGCGACTGTTGAGGTATTTGGCGAGCGATACCTGTGGAGACCCTCATCTGATGATATTTCCAGGCTTTTATATATTGGTCAACAACGTGGTTTTCCAGGAATGTTGGGGAGTTTAGATTGCATGCATTGGAAGTGAAAAAATTGTCCTACAGCGTGGGCTGGCCAATATGCTGGTCGTAGTGGAAAGCCTATAATCATTCTTGAAGCTGTAGCAGATTATGATCTATGGATATGGCATGCTTATTTTGGTTTGCCGGGCTCCAACAACGATATCAACGTTCTAGAATCATCTCATATTTTCTCGGATCTAACCCAAGGTATTGCTCCTCCAGCTCATTATATAATTCAAGGAAAAGAATACAACATGGGTTATTATTTAGCTGATAGCATATATCCAAAATGGTTTACCATTGTGCAAACAATTCATGAGCCACGTGGTCCGAAAAAAAGATATTTTGCAATGAAACAAGAAGCATGCAGAAAGACGTTGAACGTGCGTTTGGAGTTCTTCAATCACGTTTTGGCATTGTAGCAGGACCAGTACGTTATTGGCGAAAAGAAGTGTTACATGATATCATGACCACATGTATAATTTTGCATAACATGATTGTCGAGGATGAACGTGACCTAAGTGCACCAATCGAAACTGAAATGTAAACGCCGCCGCCGGAGGTCGAAATGGCAGTAGATGAAAGTACTCGCTTTGAAGAATTCATATCTCGGTACAAAAAAATTAGAAATAAAGATGATCACATTGCACTTCGAAATGCACTAATTGATCATCTGTGGGAGGAATTCACCAATTCCAAGACTTGAAAGACTATCTATGTTTACTTGATTGTTGTAATTTTTAATTTCTCATCTTGTGCGTTGTAATTTTTAATTTTATTTTGTGTGTTGTAATTTTAATTTTCTAATCTTGTGCGTTGTAATTTTTAATTTTATCTTGTGTGTTGTAATTTTTAATTTATCATCTTGAAAAGTTGTAATTTTTAATATTATATTGTGTGTTGTAATTTTTAAATTTTAATTTTTAATGGCTATTTATTTCTCCGATTTTATTATGTATATGATTATTACTTTATAATTAGTTTATTACATAAAGTTCAAATTGAATTGAAAATAATAGTGTGGTTTAATTTGTAAAGTTGTAAAATATGTGGGTAGTATTGAAAAGTTGTAAAAGTTGATGTAAAAGAGAATATTCCAAGAATATTCTTTTGATTTGGAGAATAAGTTTTTCGGTTGGATATAGAATCTATACTTATATAATAAGAATTACTATTTACCAAAAATAGTAAGCAAAAAAATGTAGCAACATTAATTACATACTATTTCGGGCAAGTTGTGTTTTTATCTTTTATTTATTAAATGAGAAACATTTAAATATGCCTTCAATCACGGATACTAAGTTTTGATAACCAAATTGCTCAATTTTGGTACAAATAAAGCTTTTAAAAATTTGAGTTTTATTTTAATGCCAATCCTTTTTAAAATTAATTGATATCAACATTCACTAATTTGGGGCAAAAAAAACTTGCAAGTTCATAACCCATAATAATTGTGTGCAATTCATCAAAATCAATGATATCACATAATTATGATTTGTATGTTTTCAGTCGTGTCGAGTTTTTAAAGAAAAAAATTATTTGGACGTCAAAAAATTTTGTGTAATAAAATAAACTTGCCGATCAAAAAAAATAAAAAATCAACCGACACACACTCAAATTCTAAGAGTTCTTTTGACTAATCGTAAACACCCAAAAAATTCGAACATAAAGGTAAAAAAATCGAACATAAAAACCTTAAAAATAAAAATTCCACATTTATTTTTCGGACTAAACAACTAAGATCAAAAATTCGAAAGATTCTTTTGATTAATTGTAAAAACCAAAATATTCGAACATGAAACTAAAAAAATCGAAAATAAAAACTCTCAAATTGAACAAACCATATTTTGTTTCGTGCAAAACACCTAAAACTAACTAAATGAAAACTAAAAAAAAAATATGTATTTATAAGACCCTCAGTGTTAAAACGGTAAAGTTGGAAGAAGATAGATGAAAAAAGACGAAAGAAGAAGCTGGAAGCGGCGAAAAATAAAGGAAGAAATGTAGCCCTTGGTCCGATAATTTCACTATTTATATTATGTTCAGTCTAATATAACCCGATTTGCGTTGAGTAATCTGGATCATTAGATTATTTTTTCTGTTTTGTTTGGGCCGATATGAACTTTTGAAACCAATATTGTAAATTCGGCCAATATGAACTTTTTGAAGCCCACATTTTTCAAAAACATTCATATTTTACAAGCCCAACATGATTAATATAAATAATTACACATATCTTATAATAAGTATTTGTTAGGTTTAATTATAATCAGTGATCCGTGTTTTATTATATAATTTAAATTTAAATACAATATTATGTTTTAAAAAGGATGGAAATAATAAAGCCTCGTGCATTGCACGGGTACTGTACTAGTTACTATAAAATGAGATAGGTACTGCAAAATGGGTTTTGAGTTTAGAGTATTCAGTTGGAGATGCTCGAAGTAGCATAACCCATTGTTCCAATTCCACTTCAAAAGGTTTAAACCCTCGAACACAATATTTTGAAAACAGTTTCATTTTTTTTCTGTGAGAAAAGAGACCGTCTTCTGTTTCTCCCTCCTCTTGGTATCCCCTTCTACAAGGTAGTCATGCTTGCCTGCTTTAAATTTTAATTAATAGTTGCTTTCTTAGCTGACGTTGTTGGGCGTAGGGTTTAACGAACTTCCGATTCAATCACTGTCACCCGTTTTTAGTATAAATTTGTTTTTCGGTTCTGTGTGTTTGATTAAGTTGAAGTACCTGAATGGCGGGAGGTGGTGCAGCTCCTGGTGCGGCGGGGGCTTCCGTGAGAATCGTGGTTGCCGGAGATGCAAAAACGGGAAAGTCGAGTTTGATACTTACGGCGGCCGCAGAGAATTTTCCGAGCAATGTGCCGCCGGTTCTGACACCCACAAGGCTTCCGGAGGACTTGTACCCAGACCGTGTACCTGTCACCATTATTGATACTTCGTCCAGGTTATTGAGACAGTACCTCTGGTTGTCTACGCTAGATTATTTGGTTGGAACTTGTAGAGAGCTTCTATATTTGGTTTAGCATATTTCGCACAGATGATTTTTGGGTTAGTATGCAGAGTTTGTGTGTACTGCTTGCCTGGGTTGTGCTTCGAGATTGTCAAATTTTGATTCTTTTATCTGTGAAAAAGGAATTAAAAATTTTGTAGTTGCATTTGTTGTTGGAGAGTCAGTACATTTGTACACGTCTTTCTATGCTTCTTTATGGAGTCTGATGCAAGAAACTATATTATAGCATATGTGGCATGAATGGTGGAAAAATCATAAGTTACAGAATATTTAATTGAGTTTTCATATTTCCTATTGTTAATTGATTTTTCATATATATTATTGACGTCTGTGAGCATACTCTACATGCCAACTTTTTCCATGTTTTGCTGAAATCAGAAACTTTTCTAGCAGATTAAAATTGTTCTTTGATATCCATACCCGCCTTATGAACACGTTCACCAAATTATGGCGTGCAGGTGTATGCTGTTATAGATTCGTGATTGCATGAGTGTATACTTTTATATGGGCTAATTGATAAAAATTGACTTTATCTTGGTGAAAAATGTGATTCTCATGTTGTACTGCATGGTTTCTGTTTATATAGCCTATGCTTTTGTCTGAAAAAATCTTTTTATTTACCCTGCAATTATGGCAAGTTGACATCTGATATAATGTTGTTGATCCGTTTGAATGCAGCCCTGAGAATAAAGGGAAGCTTGTTGAAGAACTGATGAGAGCTGATGCAGTTGTTCTAACATATGCATGTGATAGGCCCGAAACACTTAAAAGATTAAGCACGCACTGGCTTCCTGAACTTCGACTATTAGAGGTGACATTCTTAAAACCTTGATTGTACATAAGTTTCTTCAGCTCAGATGATGTTGTGATTCTCGCTCAATATTCCAGGTTACCTTTTCTGAAATTTCCTTGTGTAATTTGTTCTATACATGTATTGGCAGGTTAATGTTCCGGTTATTGTGGTCGGTTGCATGCTGGATAAGAGAGGTGACCAACAGCCTGTTAGTCTGGAGCAGGTTATGTCACCTATAATGCAGCAGTTCCGGGAGATTGAAACTTGTATTGAATGTTCTGCTGTAAATCATATTCAGGTCAAGTCTACTTCATATGTACTGATATCTGAGTTTGGTATATATCAGAGATAGTTGCTGTGTTACACTAAATCTTCCCTGTCTACCAATGTGGCAGTCTTATCTTATTCTCAGGCAGATTTACTAGTTTGTTTCTTGATTATTGATATATTTCATTTACTTTCTTTTATTCCTTGTTAATACAAGGAAACTTCATATAATTATTTAATGATTCCATATCCTGCTTATTGCTATATATGCTAATTATAGACAAGGCAAAGGCGGACATGTACGGAACTACAAATTATTTATTGTAGTTGTTTTCCTCTTGCAGATTCCTGAGGTTTTCTACTATGCACAAAAAGCTGTGCTTCATCCCACAGCTCCACTATTTGATCAGGAGCAACAAGTTCTCAAACCTAGGTGTGTGAGGGCTTTGAAAAGAATCTTTATTCTTTGTGATCAGGACAGGGATGGCGCCCTCAGCGATGCTGAGTTGAATGACTTTCAGGTCTGTCTCGTGTTTTTGAGATTGTTTTGTTACAGTCAATATGGTTGCCTATGATATAGGATCAATAACTTTCACGATGTTTAGCCTATTTTGGTAACCAACAATCTGACACGAATAGTAATACATGCAGGTTAAGTGTTTCAATGCCCCACTACAACCATCTGAGATAGTGGGTGTTAAAAGGGTTGTGGAAGAGAAATTGCGGGAAGGTGTCGATGATCGTGGTCTGACATTGACAGGCTTTCTATTTCTCCATGCTCTTTTCATCGAGAAGGGGCGTTTAGAAACTACATGGACTGTGCTAAGGAAATTTGGATATAACAATGAAATTAGGCTTCGTGACGATCAATTACCACCAATAAAGAAATATCCTGACCAGGTAATTTTCCTTTGGATAGGCAACTAATGTAAACAATGTTCAGCAGAGGCCATTGTTTGGAATATCTTTTCTGACAAGTTCAGAGTATTTCAGCTGTATATGCTTTTAATGGGGTTTCATCTTTCTATTTATTCATTTCAGTTTGCCAAAGTTTGTTTCAAATTCCTATTGTTTAGTTGTATGGAATTTACTAAAGGTAGGTGTGCGTGTTTATTTCTTTAAAATGATTTGCAATGATCACCTCCTTCAATCTTGGATTGGGAGTTTATTTTCTCGTAGTTTATGCACCTGCGGTCTAGTATCTCTAGGCTTCAAATTAAGGTCTGAGTATCTGTGAGGGGAAGAAGCTGAAGTGTAATGGGTGCTTACAATTTCCATGATAAATTTATGATTTATGTAGTTTCAGAATTTTGTTGCACTGTCATTGTGTTGCCACTTGCCACCTCCAGCCATTAGTTATTAACTAGGACTTTTAGTAATGTTTCTATCTCATTGCACTTGATAAAAAAAAATGATAACTGTTTTCTTTTTGAATAGTTACCTGGCTTGTATCAAACAATGCAACATATTTGCTGAGATCAAGAGAACGCTAGTTGTAGGCCATCTTCACAATTTCCTGAATGTTGATTTCCATCTCATTCCTAGTTTCTAGAACAAGCTAAGAGAATCTTGGTGTTATATGTCAGATATCTTTTGTGTTCAAATCTGTTATGTATTCTGTTCTTATGAACTTCGATCTTTGTACACGTCTAATCCTGAATTATCATTTGTCTAGAGTGTGGAGCTAACAGATGAAGCTGTGGAGTTCCTCAAAGGGATCTTCATTACGTGCGATGTTGATCGTGTATGTAAATCTTTTTCGTGTTGTTTAATCGGAAGTCCTATTTATAGTTTGATGATGTGCCATTCTTAAATCAGTTGAAAGTCTCCAAGTGTTGATTATTGGTTTTAATGATCATTAGGATGGAGCTCTTCGATTTGCTGAGCTTGAAGATCTGTTCTCGACTGCACCAGAAAAGTAATTTATCCTGTTTTTAGATCTTTTCACGGCTTTTTGTTTAAACCAATTTAATGCCTTTTAATTTCCAAGGTGTTTCAGCAAGCATTATAAATTTCACTATAAATTACTATTTCGATGAATATGAAGAGCTTCTACAAATTTGTTTTGGATCTATTAGGTTGCTGGAACATCGTGGTTTCATCCTCGTGTTTTGATAAGTTATATTTATGGTTTTTCATTGTCATTGCTTCTCTTTTTGAAATTTAGTCCTTTCCATAAAGCTCCATATGTCGACGCTTCAGAAAAGACTGCTCTTGGTGGACTGTCATTGGATGGATTTCTCTCGCTGGTATGCACCGTGTTTTGGTCAGACATTGCAGATTAAGTTTCGAATGACTCATGAATGCATTAAGTTCTTAACTGTATAAACTATGCGCTGTTGCTATAAGCATTCTTTCCATTTCAAACATATTGGGGAAGTTCAAACCAGATGATTTGCTTAGACTTATTGACTTCTTGTTCCGCGTTCATGTTCTACGATCATTTGTGTCTCCAAAGTCTTAGTGATTGAAATGAATTGCAAGGAAAACTAATTATGGATTTTGTACTTGGCACGTGTTCTTTGTGCCTAGTTATTAGTGCACTGATTTGTGACTTATGAGCATCTTGCTACCTCTGAAGTATAGACAATAATTTTACTGGATTTGTCATGAGAAGACATTTCTTCCCATTGACAGTCTTCTTTCTTTGTGGTAGCCTTTCTCTAGGAATCAGGTGTTACCGTGTTAGTGAAGGCCCAACCACGATCAATTTTGTTGATCAATTTTGTTATTGCTACAGAAATTGCAAATGCAAGCGAACTCAACCTATAGTTAAACTTAAAATATAAACCATACAGATCTACTCAGGGTTTTTCCATCTTTTCTTGATAGATGGAATAAAGTATGACCCGAACCGGCTTGGACCCGGCCCAGACCGGACCCAAGACCGTAGTTTCACCGGGCCACTTCCGGGCCCAAGTTTTGAGGCCCGGGGGTCGGGTCGTGAATCGGCCCGCCAGTTGGCCATGTCTAGATCTGATGTTTATTGATTCTATATGCTCTTGATGCCTTCTGTGAAAGATAATGCTCAACTGCCTTGATGTTTCCTTATACTCTTGCCCATGAGGTTGGCATCAAGTTGTTCCCTGCAATATGCAAGAATACTTAAAGTATAATTCTGAGTCTTTAACTATTTGTCACCCTTTGTATTAATAATGCTGCTAGACTAGACAGTTAATGTTTTTGGGTGGACACTAAATAATCATTAGACATATGCTTTAAGCTAACTTTGTCAACTACTTATTAAGTAATTCTCCCTGGGCAAATTTATGTTTGCAGTGGGCACTTATGGCGCTTCTGGATCCGATTCGTAGTTTGGAGACCCTGATATATATAGGTTATGGTGGCCATCCTTCATCCGCTATACGGGTAACTCGAAGAAGACGTTTAGATCGTAAAAAGCAGCAATCAGAAAGAACAGTGTATCAGTGTTTTGTTTTTGGACCAAAAGAATCAGGGAAATCTGCTTTGCTTGATACATTCATTGGAAGGTATTTATAATTCTGCTCAACAATTTTTTTCCATGTAAGATTTTATTTTCTGTTGCTTTTCAGATGTTATTCGTTTGTTATGCAAGTTTTTTCAATATATTTGATAGGCCTTTCCGTGAAAAATATGTTCCAACAACTGGTGACAAATACGCTGCTAATGTCTTCGATCAACTGTCAGTAAGTGCCCTCTGTTGCTTTTAAAGGGAGACATATAATAGAATATATACTTGCCTGCTTGCAGGATTTCATATCGTACGTGAGTTTGCATATTTGTGTCGCATTTGGAATTCAAGAAACTGGCTCAAATAACTGTGTTGCGGGAGCTAAGTTGACTCCTTTATTCAATATGAGATTGTTTGAAACACTTTTTGGTATTTTTTTCCTTACTGTTGGTTCCTTTTGATATCAACTGCTCCCCAGATTGGTATGATGTGCTCCATGTCTCGGGATCCCTCCAAATTTTTAGCATGTTACTATTTGATATCACTGGTTGGTGGGATACATAGAAGATTTAAGAAGTATTGTATCTTAACAGGGACTTAGGAAGACTCTGGTGTTGAGGGAAATCCCTGAGGATGGAGTGAAAGAGTTACTATCTAAGAAGGATGCATTGGCTGCATGTGATGTTGCATTGTTCGTTCATGACAGGTGGCTGATATTTTTCATTAATTATTATTATTGCAGTTTCCTTGAATATATTTGTTAAATGGGCCTAGCTAAAACTCACTTTGAAAAGCTCTCAAAGCGAGAGGGTGCGAATCCACACTTATGCACAATAACAACCTAGTAACTTATCCATGTGGGACAAGCATAAACTTCCAACACCTGGCTGAGTGAAACTCATCCCCAAAAGCTAGTTCAAAGGGAAAGGTTGCGCAATCGTTACTTACCGACATTCCCCAATGGCTGCCCACTACCTAATCCATTTTGGGAGAAACATAAATTCTGACAAGGATTTTGTGAATGATTGCTCTTTTGTGTCACTATAAATTTTAATTAAAAGTAAAAAACACATTGAGATAGAATAAAGAACGTGGATATCTTTTTTTCTACTCTTTACTACTTTTCGTCTCATTCTTTTGTGAGCAAAACGTGAAGCCTAATAACAGGTCTACTTTGATACCCTTGACCCAGTTATATATAAAACGGAGGCTATAACCAATTCTTCCACTTTATCTTGGTTTGAATAGCCAATTCTCTTGAAACAGTACAAACGTGTATGTTTTTGGTCATCACTTACCATTCCAATGTAGTTGACTTAGTACTACATAATGCCAAGAATAATTGATACGAGTGCGTTATAAGAGAGTACAACGGATTGCAGCAATCATTTGGGTTAACAATTCTCACAAAGCAAGTAATGTTCCATTTGTGTGTGTCTTAGGAACTACGCACAGTGGCCCAATAATGGTTGGACCGTATACTAGCTCGTGGTTATCAATTTATTTCATATTTTAAATATCTGATTTGAGTTTTTGCTGGCCCAGTTCTCGTGAGTCTTCCTGGCAGAAAGCAACAGAAATGCTTGTGGATGTGGCGAGTCAAGGGGAAGCTACTGGTTATGAGGTGCCCTGTCTCATAGTTGCTGCTAAGGATGACCTGGACTCTTACCTGACAGAGATTCAAGATTCAACAAGGGTAAAGATTTTTCTCAACAGTCAATAAGAGTTGACAATCTCATGTTCCCTACAACCAAACATATAGGGAATAAGGGAAATAAAATGCATAGGCAGGATAAATATCCTACAATATTGATTGTTTAGTTCTTGTATTCAAGTCATGTACCAGAAACTTTTGCATGTTTTATTTTTGAGGAGAAAGAGAACAATTTGATGATGCATGGTAAGCCTAGTTTTCGGTTGAGCTTGACCTTATGCAGATTTCTTCCTTCAACTGTTAAAAGTCTGTATCTCACTTGAAAACCTTCTCACTGCCTCAGCAGAAAATGTTGCTATCGGAGTGTTTTAAGTTGTATAATGAGTTTGCATCTTGAGTTAAGGAGGGTAGAACATATCTTTGTCCTTCATTTACACCAATTTCCTTAGAACCAACTCTATTCTACCAAAGGGCTATGAGAATACATGATGCTTTATGTTTATTTCCGAACCCCTTTAATGTTGACCATATAGCTGTATTGATGGTCAGCAATCAGTGGCAGTGTTTATTTTTCAGTGAAGCTTCTTATTTGAAAAACTGACCATGTAAATTTGAACAGGTAAGCCAGGACATGGGAATAGAGGCTCCTATCCCTCTCAGCACAAAGCTGGGAGACTTGAGCAACATATTCAATAAAATTGTGAGAGCAGCCGAACACCCACATTTAAGCATTCCTGAGACATCAGCCGGGAAAAGCCGCAAGCAATATCACCGGCTTATTAATCGCTCTCTACTGTTTATATCAGGTATCGTACAGATTTTTTAAAGCTCATTAAAATCAGAATTTTTCCGTTTTGCGAAATCATCAATTGCTGTTGGGATGGATAAAAAAACCTAGCCAGAAGTCCATTTAAAATTTATAATTATCACCATACCTTCCGAAACGTGTGCAATACCAACTTGAGGTTTGTATCTGTTTTACAATTTACCTAGCACTACATTGCAGCTCATTAAATTGATGCATGTCAAGGTGTAATTTGTATTTTTGTATGTATATATGTATACTACATATTAACTAATCTGGGGTAGTATTTTAACTATCCCCATTTCTTAATATTTTTCTGGAGCTAAGAGGTATATTGAACTTCAATGCCGCAAAGGTTTGCTGGTGTATATGCATATCTGGTTTCTGGATCATGGGATTTGTTACGGGGATTATAATGTTAATTTTATAAGGAAACCATCTAATGACTTTATTCTAATTTAATAATGCTCTTTCGAAACCTTATCTTGAATGTTGTGACATTGCACACTTACATGTTTTTCTTATAGTAAAATGCTGAAACTGTTATCCGTTACAGTTGGAGCAGCTGTTGCTGTTGTTGGGTTGGGCGCATACCGTGTTTATGCTGCAAGGAAAAGTTCTTCGAGTTAAGAGAAGGTTTCTTTTTAGTTTGTGCACCTTTTCATTTTGTTTTTCTCCTGGTGAGCTGCGGGCTAGCAAGTGGTTTCTGCAGTCGGCTTTGTAGGTAATGCAACACGAATATCATTACTAGCCATGTTGGTGATTTTTTCCTTGGGTCGTGTTCCCCCTGTATGAACAATCTAGTAAAAATGGCGGGTTGATTTTCTGGACGAAAATGTGGATGAAATTACTGCATTTGCATATGATAATCTTTTGTAGCAGAATAAAGATACTGTAGCATGGAATATTGATGTAGCATGGAATATTGATGTCTGGATCTTGAGGATTACTGATACTGTGGCATCATGATTCATGTTTTTAGCCTTACTGATTTTTAGCTCGCTTTCTACTTTCTTCTGGTTGACCAGTTGGGGGTAGAGGGGGGCTGCTGTGACCCACTAACAGCAGCCTTTGGATGAATTCTAATCTAACGGTCAACTAAGCTAAATTAAAAAATACACTTTCTTTTAGTTTTTCCCAGGAAAATGAATCAGGCAATGGATTTCGCTCAAACAAGCAATTCGACAAACACCACGAGAACACAGAACAAGATTACACATGAACACCAAAATCCAGCAAAAAACTGAAAACCCCAGAACAAATTCAAGATCCGACGAAACAGCCCAAGATTAGTAAGGGGTACCTTCTCACGGACGCGAGCTCGTCGCCAATGTACACACTCACTTTACAAAACAAAGAGCAATCGAAATAATTTTTTCTTACAAAAAAAAACAAATATACACAATTCGTACAAAATGAACGCTATGTACTTTCCAGAATCCAAAAGCCCAACGAGTTTTCTGCCTTTTTTTTTCCTTCTCTTGAGACTATGGAGGAGAAAGGGGGTGTTGAAGAGGATGGGGAGAAAATTAATTAAGTCATTAGTTAGTTTCGTTACTGATTTAGTTATTACATGAACTGATTGATTATTGCAATGACCCAAGAAGAGATATGTTAGTTGAAAAGAGAGAAAAAATAAAAAAGTAAAAAGAATGAAACAAAATTTAAAAATGAAATAAGAAAAAAATGGAATGAAGAGAATAATTTGAGATGGTGGGGTTTTGAAGTTAAAAAAAAAGTGAATTATGGGAGTCTGTGCGGATGATGGGGTTGCATTGTTGGACTAATATAATTGTGGGTAGAAAGAGAAAAAGAAAAATGAAAAGAAAAAACTAAAAGAGAGTGTATTTTTTAGTTTAGCTTTGTTGACCGTCAGATTAGAAATCATCCAAAGGCTGTTACGTAACAGCAGGGGCAGCTGTTAGTGGGTCACAGCAGCACCCCCGGACCCCCAGTTGGGAGATTGTTAGTTTTGGAAGTTGTATTTATAATTATAGGATCATTTTTTAAAGGTAAAGATTGGTAGCAGATATTAGTATCAAGCCAACAGTGCTTCTGTTAAAAAATATATATTGGGTCTAATACCATATTGGGCTAGAAACCAGATTTCTTATCAAACTTTAAGGTGTGCTTGGATATAGATATATCCCCTCCAAACGTGTTTTTTTTTTGNATAAAAAAAAAGTGGTATGATTAGTTATTAGTTGGATTTTGAGTTTATAGTAAAATAATATTTAAAATAAAATAAAAAATTGATTTACTGTAAAAATATGAGAGATGTTAATGGTTAGTTAAAATTATGTAAGTGGATGAATAGTGAAATAAAATTTATGTGATGTGTAAGAATAATTTATTAATATTATTTAATTATATTGATAATATTGAAGATAGTTGCGTTGGGTTAAATTGACTTGGATCTTGAGTACGTCTTAAGTATGAATTGTGTTGTTTTATTTACAAACACACAAATATTCAATTTGTGTTATAAAATATTTATTTGTTAGGATTAGTTAGGAAAATTATTGATAGTTGTTAGGAATTTAATAAAATAATATATGTGAATGATTATGGGTCAATTTTATATTTACACAACGATTTGCAATTAATTGCGACACTACGAGGGGGCAATTTTTTATTTTCTTACCAATTGCATGATATTTATTTGGGATAATACAATATATCGGTTACTAAATCAACTCTCCTTCAATTGCAGACGTTATGGATGAGGAGNGTAAAATATACGAAATAAATCTGGTACTTTTTTCCGAAACTCTATTTTTTGTTTACTTTTTGTGTTATTTACGTCTGGTGTTTTCATGTATATTTGCAGTATATTTCTTGGTTTAATGTAATTTTTTTTTCTTTTGCATGTGTCGAAATCAAACCATTTTGATGAACTAAGGCTGAAAAATATATACAATATATAAACATCACATATACAGTCTTGAAAACACCTACAGAGTTGCAACCCGGTATACTGTAAGTATATCATTCATGCACATATACATAACATAATTGTGTTATACTTAATATGTACGTGTATAATTTTTTATAATCAATGAATAAATAGTGAAATATTCAATATAATGTAATTACAAACGACTAATCAATGTATCAATGTATAATTACAAATGACTTTTTCTTCTTGATATGCAAAAATCCCACAATATGAAGTACCCCTGCGGGACCGAGGGCCGCCCCCGCCGAAGGTCCAGACCCACCCACCACCTAGGTGTCATCTTCGTAGTCTTTAGAAGTGTCGATGTCATCTTCATAGACTTCATCATCGTCAATGGCATCCAAATTCTGGACTTTTTTGTACAAAACCCCACCTGCTTCATCGGCGGTGTCAATGATATTATAGACCTCTTCAAAGACTTCAGAACACCAAAATTCATGACCTCACCCTCTGCATCCATCATCTTTGTTTCCATCTCTTTCCCAGTTTCCCTTTTGACAAATGTAAGGTCAAATTAGATGAATACTGCTCAGCAAAACAAATTGAATTGCGCAACAAAGAAAATTTGTGAACCATACACATCCATCAACAAGTCCACCAACCATTAAAAAATGTAAATAAACTACCATAAGAGTAACAACCATTTACCAAGTCCATCAACAAGCTCGAATCTAAACTAAAACACAAAGTCATACAAACTTTAAAGCTTACATGTCCACCAACCATGAAATAGAATCAAATTACATCAAAGAAATTCAAAGGCACAACACAAAATATTCAAAGCCAAAAGTTCATCCATCATTACCTGAATGTATCGCCGGAATGAAGCCGCCTCGCCGCCGCCGCTAGGGTTTTTTCGATTGGGAATTTAGGATTTGGGAGCAGTCGGGAGATTACAGATTAGGTTTTGCACTCTTTGCTTTTTCGAAATTTCCCGTCCAACTCGGTATTACAAAATCGAAAATTAAATATGGGTTGTGGATGGTGTCATGGGTCGCCGGTCTTCGAATCGAAAGGTTTTGGACCGAAAGGTTCATCGGCTCAAGAAGCAGATAAATTGCATTGGAAGGTGATAAGTTTTCCATAAATTTTGCATTAAATATATAAATTATTGCTATAAGAGATTTCTGGTAATTATGCAAATAAAAACAATAGATTTTCTAATATTGCTAATATTTACAAATGGGCTCTATTTATGTAATAAAATGAGAAAGGTGTTGTACATGGTGTAATTTTCTCAATGATTATTTTGCCCTCAATGTAATTGTATTATTACGATTGTGTTATCAGAAGTTTCTTATAAATAGGTGCTTCATTTGTAATGAAAATCGTACCAAGAGAATACATTCTCTCTAGTTTTATAACACGTTATCAGCATGAATCTCTACCCTGTAGAGCTCGATTTGTAATATGACGAACGTATGCTCTATAATTGCGACTTATAAATGATCTTTTGTATCAGAAATTGAATTATTACAAGTCGCTATTTTCTTGTGATCCATAAGAAAAAATCTCAAGCACAATGAAAAACAACACCCGTCGTCATTGTAGATGGCAGCATGTAGAAATTCATGGACGATAATTTACAACAAATCAGAGCCTCAACCAAGGTTTCGGTCTTTCTTAAGAGGTAACTAGTCTCAAAATCTCCTATGAACACATCTATAATAATTATCAACAAAATTGCATCAACCTTTCAGAAAATAGTATAAGTTAAACCAAAGTTGAAAAAAAATGAAAATCAAACTCGCGAAAAAAAAATATCAATAATGGTTTTTAAATCATTTAGTTTGATCATATTCATGTCATTTTCACTCACCATAATGAGAGATAGAAAGATTATGAGAAGAGCAAAGAATGATGAGGAAGAGCTTTGCTTTGGCCAACAAATAATCAACACACACAAATCTGATAAATAAATTAAAAAAAAGAGAAAAACAAAATAACAAAATGATAATAAAATAACGTGCATGATTAGAGGTGGCATAATGAGTATCTCTTCCAAATAATACGGGATGTGTTCGTTGGATTAAAAGAGATCAATGGTTTTATCGATGGGCTAACGAAAGTTCTAGAAGGTGATAGAAAACTTGGGGGGACCGGCCGCATGAAAGTCCCTAGGTGGATACAGTGGGAGATGCCTCCCTCGGGATGCTTAAACTGAACTCGGATGGCTCCTGTAATGGAGCTTCGGGTGTGGGATGTGCTGGAGGTCTCATCCGCGATGAGCAAGATCATTGGTTAGGGGGCTTCTCAATGAAAATCGTTTTCTGCTCTATAATGGCGACTGATATGTGGATTATTTCGAGGCCTAACTTTGGCATGAGACTTGGGTTTTCGTCAAGTTGAAGTTGAAGTAATAAGAGTTTCGTGGGGTTTCTAGAACTTTTGAAGAGGTATCGGGGGTGCATGCAAGGCCCATTTTGGGGATCAAAGAACTTCTCGGTCGAGTTTAGATGGTCAAGGTAAATCATGTATTCCACGAAGCGAACTTTAGTCCACCATTTGGCTCTCTTCGCCGCGGAAGGATCCTTGGGGTATCACTTCTTTATTGTCCCATCATATGGTGTTCGACCGTGGTTAACACACGATCTTATTGGTGTTTCTTATTCGCGGAACGTGTGCAACTTAAGGTATTAGGCTTGCCTTCTTCCTTTNAAAGATAAGCCATTCCCACAAAATGAATGTACATGATGTGTCCACTTGATATAATGTATTTGTTCACTTGCAACAACAAACACATGCACTATTGATAGTGTGTTGACAATAATATTTATGGTGTGCATTATGGAAATTTTAATATACACGCAAAATATTTCAATAATCCATTAATCTCTAAAATTCAATTTTCTCAAGTACAAAAGGCATACAGTATCAAAAAGAGTTATATGATTTCATAATATTTCATTTAAATAGAGCTTCAATTTAAGACCAATATTGATACAATTTATTATATTATATGATTATGACATGTTCTGAATTTTCTATCGTGAAAAATTATTTGGTGCGTGAACATGCAAATATTTGTGGATTGATCCT